GAACGAAAAGAACCGAGTCGAATTAATTAAGTCGGAAAAAAGAAAGTGTGCATTATAATCGAGAAAATGCGAGTATTGTATTAATCTTTAAAGTATTGGTGTTAAATCTGTCTTATAACATCATGACTCCTGTAAATCGGGTTATCCGATAAGAATAAAATACAATACCAATATAGCCCTATCGTTGAAAAAATTTGCTTATTTTTGCTCACCTCGAGTTTTGCTTAGTAGAAATGGCTAAAAAGTGCGCAAAATACGTATGGAAATACGGTATTACAGCACCACCTGTATTGGACGACCACCTGTCTAAAAGACCACTTTTTGAAGGAACCGTGGGTGGTCTCCATAGGCAGGTTTTACTGTATATGCTTAAGCTCAATATAGTTAACAATAATTATATTTTTCAGAACACTAACCAAATGAATAGTAGAATAAATACAAAAAAAAGACATAGTAGGCGCAAAGTATCCTCCTTTAGTAATGCAAAGGTTAATGAAAATTATTTTAAAAATCTCCAATCTCCAAAATATTTTAGCTAGAGAATTTGTTTTATATCTTACCTATTATAATTTAATATCTTTGGAAAAAGTCAACTTGTTACTATCTTGAATTCTGAAATATATGCTTTTATGTTAGGTAGCTCCTTGAAATAGGACTGTGACTTGCAGTTCTAGGAATGATGTTGCAGTTGAATGCACTGTTGTGATTTACTAAACTGTTACACATTCTGTGACTGTTTTATTTTTTGTTGGGGTTTTTTATATATTATTTAAAATGTCAAAAAGATCTGACAGTGATAATTCCAACATCATATCATATTCTAAAATCCAAGACATTTTTGGTATCAAGCTTTTCAGATTAGGAATACTCAATCTATGGTATGTTCTTTTTCCTGTTTATGCAATTAATGATTTGGGAGATACAGATTTACTCTTGGAATTAATTTTAATTTAGGTTTTTAGTTTCTATAGACTCAAAAATTTGGAATCAATGAAATTCTGATTGTTTTTTTACCAGAATTTCAGAAATCAAAGTTTCACAAGCTGCATACAATTATTATTGGATTATTAGGTAATTCAGATTATATAGTATATGCATGCAATTATACTATATTAGAATATAATCTAGAAGCACAGTTTTTCTAGTCTTTTGGCTACTTTAAGTGAGAAAAATTTTCTCACTTAAATTAGCCAAAAGGCTAGTATTTCTCAGATGGGAAATGCTGGCATTTATAGCCTGCCACACTGGCGTGTGCTTCTCCTACCACTGCTGATGAGTTTTAATCAGCATATATATCTGCATTGAACATTGAGTAATGGGTATGGGAAATTATTTTGTTGTCAAATTGAGTTAATGGAAAAAGAAGAGTATTGGGAAGTTAGAATACTGAAATGCATAGTTCTTGAGAAATAGATGATTATCTTTTTGGTTATGTGATCCAAGAAATTTCTCACCAAATTTAAAATATTAACTTTTGGCAATGTGACTAGCAGCAAGTTAATCCCTAATATGTACTTATTCGTATTTTTCTTGTTTAATTTATCAATTCATTAAAATGTTAATTTTTTCAACATAAAATTTTCTTTTGGCTTAAGAATAGGAATATGTAGAAAAGCTTTATGTATCTGGTTTTAGTGGAGTTGTTTGTTTAAGAATAGGAATCAAAGAAAAATGAATTTGTCTAATATTATAATTAATTAATTAAAGCAAAGTTTACAATGATGATAAAATGTACTAATAATTATTTCTTTATAATAGAAATGAATCGAAATGATTGTGGAAAATACGTCAGTTATTCATAGAAATTCAAGTCAAATATTACTAGAAGTTGAACTTAAACATAAAGAAGATAAACTTGATCAAAAATATGAAGATCGACATAATTCAAGAAAGGTAGATAGTAATATGTAATTTTTAATTTGTTGAAACTATAAGTTTTTATAAAATTATATAAAAGTTAAGATTTTTATATTATTTATGCAGACATTAATAATGTTAAATTTTTACATCTCAGTAATTTCATGAAATAAAATTTTATTCATAGTTGAATAAAAATGTTAATATTGTTCAAATTAATTCATATATTTTATATGTGTATATGTAGCACCAATCACCAATCAGCACCAATCAAAAGAAAATTATCACATCATTGTTAGCTGGTGCTGCTGCTGGAGCAGTGGCAAAAACAGTAATTGCACCTCTGGATCGTGCAAAAATTAATTTTCAGAGTAAGAAAATTTTTTTATATGCAACTATTTTGTATATTTTAAATTGACTAATTTATAATTTTTTTCCAGTTCAAAATAAACAGTTTTCATTCAGAGAAGTTTTTAGGTTTTTGTTGCATAGTTATAGAAGTGCTGGACTTTTCAGTCTTTGGCGGGGAAATTCTGCTACAATGGCAAGAATTATACCTTATGCAGCCATTCAATATTCAGCACATGAACAAATGAAAAGATTATTGAGGATTGAAACTAACAGTCAGAGGTGATGATCATTTGGTTTTAAATATGAAATTATACTAATTTAAATAAAAATAGGCTATAAGATACTTTTAAAATTACATTATTATTGCTATAAAATATTTCAGTTTTGATAATGGAATTGTATTAACCACAAAGGCTTAAAAATTCATTTCTGCTTCAATTTTTTTTTTTTATTAAAATAACATTCTTATTGCAGATTATGTTCAATGATTATTTGATTGATGATCATAAAAATCAACTATGTTTTCCTCCTAATTAGGAAAACCCAACCAGCAAAAACATTCCTTGCAGGATCAATAGCAGGTATCATTTCCAGCACCTGTACTTATCCACTAGATTTGGCAAGAGCAAGAATGGCTGTAACTCATCGGGAAAAGTAAACTTTGTTTTCATATTTTAATGTGTTTATATAGTACATGATGATCAAACTGTTTTAAAATTATTTTGTAGATATAATACATTACTGCAGGTGTTTGTAAAAATTTGTAGAGAAGAAGGCCCTAAGACTTTGTACAGAGGTTATTCACCAACTGTTTTAGGTGTGATTCCATATGCTGGTACTTGTTTTTTTACTTATGAAACTCTAAAGAGACTTCATAATGGTAAGACTCATCTTATAACTGTGTGTATATTTATGAAAATATATTTTCTATTTAAAATGCATTCATTTTACTAGAATACACTCAGCGAGATGCACCTAATCCTGCAGAAAGAATGTTGTGTGGTGCAATTGCAGGTCTTCTTGGGCAATCGTCATCATACCCATTAGACATAGTAAGACGAAGGATGCAGACTGCACAACTCACAGGAAACACTTATTACACAATTTCAGGAACCATGATATCAGTAGTCCGTGAAGAAGGACTTATTGGTGGACTATATAAAGGACTGAGCATGAATTGGGTTAAAGGTCCAATTGCAGTAGGAATTAGCTTTACAACTTTTGATCTTACACAGAGGTTTCTTCGTCAACAATCTTTCTTTTCTCTTTAAGTAAATCTTGCTACAATCAATTTAATTTCTTCAGTTAAAAACTTCATTAGTTTTTAAAACTTCTATTTCATTTAAAAAAAATCACTTTTTTTAAAAATAAACTGATGCTATTTAGTGCTTGAGGAATAGCTACCTTGATAAAATCATATGGAAAACCGTATAATTTTATTGTGCCAGGACCTGTAGACAGCTTTGAATTAATGCAATCTGACTTTTTCATTATTTGTATAGAATGTTTAGACAAGTACTTAAATAATTCATATTGTCAGTTGATTTGCACATACTAAAATATTTCAGAAATTAAAAAAGAAAAAGCCAAATCACTTATTATAGTTTTGTAAGTTAATCTGTTTTGCAACATCAATATAAGTAATAATATGATATTTAGGAAAAAAGTGCAATATAAAACTAAGTAACATGAGAAGTAAGTAATGCAATGAAAGTTTAATGTAAATGTGTAATCATATATCATTTTTTGATATAATTAATATTATATAAAATTGAAATCTTTTTTTTTTTTTGTTTTTTAAATTTTAAATAAAGTATGTTTTATTTGAATTTAGAGCTATATCTGTTATATTAATATTGTACATTGAAAATGATTTTTTACCAATAATATCTAGCTAATTTCTAATTTCATTTAAAACATTTTATTTTAGTTTTTTTGGAAAGAAAGCTATGATAAATTCAAATTTTTTGGAATATCATTAAAAATTACTGTGAAATGAAATTAAAATACAAAATAATTTTTCATTTGTTGTGGCATTGCACTAGCAGTTGCATCCCCTGCTACAAATATTCATATTTTTTAACTATTAAAATTTGTTTATATGTAAGTATAAAAATAAACTAAAACCATATAAGTATAAATTCAAACCATATAACTTGATTTTTTGATATTTAATAATATAATAAAATATGGTTTTCCCTTTTCACAAGTCTAGTTCTAAAACTATAGAGGAAAAGGTGGTATTATGGAACATTGCAGGTATTATGGAACCACTGCATTTCGAACTGATGATAAAGGCGAACTGTAGCGGATTGTGGCTGAACTGAACTAGGCAGACAACCATAGCAAGGGGAAAACCCGTTTNTTGCATTGACGTTAAGCCTAACGAAAATTTTTATAATAATCATTGTGGCTATTAAATCGTTAAAATTTATTTATTTTGTACATGACAAATATATTGAATATATATATATATATATTGAAAAATTATACTTTAGAAGTTAACCTAGTATCGAAAACGTTTGATTCAGCACAACACAGTCCGAATGGAATGCTTTCGGTTAACCGATGTTTTGGTTGATCGAAATTCGGATAATCTATGCTCTACCGTAGTTAAACTTTTAAAGCTCCTGAAGTAGTTAATTCTCTGGTCATGTAGGCTAAATGGTCAAATTTACATGACCATTTTTTAAAATTATTCCAAAAGCAATTAGTGCCAAGAACTAAAGTTTTTTAATCACTGAGAAAGCTTTTATAACAATTTGTTTCATTTTTTCAATTTATAGTTTTCAGTTGCTATTGCCATTGCCATCTATTTTACACAATAATTTATCGTCGGAATAATTTCAAAAAATAATCACAAACTTTTAAAGCTCCTGGAGTAACCTATTTATATTTCATGTGTGTTAAATATTTCAGGTGCTTTGAGGTCATTCAATATAAGTGGTAAAACACTTCCTTCAAAATATTGATGTCGCACGTCTTAAAAAATTATCATCAAATGCATCGATTTCTTGATATAGCACTTTTTGACATAAATATAACTCCCTATGCAGTTCGTATTTAGCTTTTTAATGTAAAACTTTTCCCAATTGAACGATATCCTCTACTCCAATAAATCCGTTTAGTGTATTATGAATAGAATATATAATTGTTTAGTAATAAAATATTTTAATTCAGTCAAATTCCTTGGTACTTAAGAAATTATATAAAGCAATTAAATTAAAATAATATATATGTAAACAATGTCTATTATCTAAATGCATATTATCTAAAATAATGCAAATTGGCAAAAAATCTTAAAATTTTTAAATTGCTGTTGGCATCATTTGAAAAAAAGCTTTCCATTTCAGAACTCATTATGAATTTTGCATGTTCATTGAGTACTGAAAAGTGGATGATTTAAATAAAGTTTTAGCACTGTTCCAAAACAACTTTTGTACTTTTTATGAAAATCCTGTTTAAATGTAAATGTGACAATTTTTTTGCAACCGTGCAGAGTATGGACCATTTTTAACATTCCACCGCTGTACTACAGTGGTGGAATGCTAAAAAGACTAGCAACTAGAGGTAGTTCACAAACCACATCTTGACAGATTTCAATTTACTAATTCCAATGCCATTGAAGCTTCTGCATTACGCCCATTCATATAAGGACTAAGAAGACAATTGTCCTTACAACCTTGGTTTGACAAAACAAAATCCATTCTTCACTCACAGAAGCTTTGTTGTATAATTCCAAGTAATTTTTTTAATTTTTCAAAATTAAAGTCTGCATTATAATTTGAACAATATTTGTAGAAATATGATGCATCAGTTAGAGTATTTTATCATCGTTTTGATTTGAGTTTAAAAATGAAATCACACAATATTCAAATTGTAAAAATACTAGTGCTGCAGCACTTGCAAGTAGGGACGTCCCAATATCACAAGTATTGATACTGGAAATCTTTCCTGCCATCGCTGTTTGGTCTGTCGCATTGCCTCCTACCAAAAAGTATCCACTGCACAAAAACAGGGATGGGCATATGTTCCAAAGAATGCCATGTAAAAAGTACAGTTTGTGCATGCTATATAAAAATGCTCCACAACTTCAATGGAATGAAAAAAATATACATTTACAAAATAAATATGAGCTTTATTGTTCTATTGTTTATCATTAACATTCTATGCACATAAATATAGTAATCACAAGGTAGAAGAGGAAACAAAATCAACATACAGCATTCTCTGATGCACATGTGGGTACTGTACTGTGCTTACAAAAAGGTAACATTTTCTTTTTTGAAATCAAGAATTACCTTTTTTTTAAGAAGGCCACAACTTTTGTTTTTTTAAATTTAGCTTTTCATTAATTTGAAAATTTTTACATGAGGGTAAAGCAGTTTATGGTGTAAAAAGAGGATTAGTTTTCTTTTGTCAACCACATTATTTCAAACTTGCATAAGAATGGAGCACGTAAAAAAGGAGGATAGGTTACAATTAGTGTTTCTCAAACGGGATTCCGGTTGTTTTTTTTTAACCCGGGAAATTTTTCTTATCTCGGGACATCCTGCAAATTTCTTAAAAATTCACTTTTTTCTTATTTTGTGTTAAGGTTAAGAAATTTTGCAAATAAAAAGCATAATTATCTCATTCACTGTCAGAATACATTTGTATTTATTAATTTTAAACCTATCTATTAGTTTTTTTTTAAATTTTTGCTCGTTATGGCATGTCACAATTGGTCAATAATCAATACGTAGCTTATTTGTGCCAGGACTCCGAAAATTCTTTACTTGTAATATATGAAATAATTGCGCTTACACTGTCTTAATTTTTAACCATGCCCAGTAGCTTCCATAAATGTGTAACGCCAGATTGTGCAAATTGGGCAAAGATACAAACGAGTATAAAGTCTGCAAGTATGAAGTTTTTCTTCATAAACCCGATTATTAAAGCCAAACGAATTGCCGAATTATTGAGCTATAAGCTTGATGCCGCTATTAAAGCAGCCGAGGTAGACATCAAAAATACTAGAGAGCAAAAGAAGCACTACAGTCTCGAAAACAAACTAAATCTTCTAGGCTACAGGTGAAAAAAACACATCTGTCTTCTCTTAAATGCATTAAACACAATTCCAATCACATCAATTGAATCGGAAAGGGCATTCTTGGTAGCAAGACTTTTCATTACAAAAATAAGAATTAGAGTGAGTGATCGGAGTATTGATCACCTTTGCTTTTTAAAATCTTATAATACAAAATATTGTAACTTTTATATTTTATTTAAAAAACGAAAATTACCTTCTAAGTTATAGGTTTGATCTAAGTTCAATTTTTAATTTTTAACTCAATTCAAAGCATTTTTGTTGTTGTATGCAGTTTCTAGCAAACTTTAATAAATTTTTTCTATTTGTGAAAATTTCTACATAATTCAAAGGTAATTTTTATTATATATCTTACACAGCATTATTATGATTTTGGATGATACAGAACTTTAAAATTACTTTAAAAAACAAAAAATAATTATATCATTTAATTTCAAGATATTTTGTATACCTTAAAAATAATTGATTCTATCCCGGGAAACAGTTCACTTTTATCCTGGAATCCCGGGACAAGCAAAAGACCGGGAAATGAGAAACCCTAGTTACAATGAAGGCTGAGTAAGTTCCACAGCAGCAATTAATATTTTTTTTGCTCACTCCAGGAAATCAAATCCTGTCTATCCAGATCAGAAATCAGTGCATCAGTCAGTACTTCAGTTTACTCTCTTAAGATTTATCGTGTACACAAGAGAAGCCCCAGATGTGTACTGTCCCACTAATGGGCTTTGTGGGTACTACTGTGGGATAGGTGTGAATAAGAAATCATTGGTGAAGAGGTAAAGCGGTAGCTTTACACGGAAAGTCCTTTTTGTTCAAATTTTACAAATGTTAGTTTGAACAAGTATATACAAATTGTTGATCAACTTGGACTGCCAGTGAGGATTAAAATATGCAATATATGTGTTTGTTGCTCAACATTTAACTATTTATAAATAGTAATCAGAACTAAGCATATATAGGTTCTGGAAATGAAATTTGATATAATACATATTTTTATTGATTTTTGGGCATTCATTTTATATAAGTTTAACTTAACTAAAAATAATGTGAAATTCCATTTGGGTTTCTGATTCTGTTGCAAAATCTGGTTCCAGTCAGACCTTACCTGTTTGTGAAAAATGTAACCATACTTTGAGTACAAAAAGTACTCTGTATTGAAAGAAAGTATTGATATGGTACCTGCAGTATTGGGACATTGCTACTTGCATATGCTTATATCTTATGAACTAATAATCTCTCCATCAAGAAACAAAGCAGAGCAATAATGTATTTAATATTTTACTGGAAAAAAAATGAACTGTGGGATGTACTTTGAAAAATATTTTGTCA